AAAAAAAAGTTTTTTTTACATGAAAGAGTGGCTAATTTACCACAAAGTCAACTTATATTTTATATAGAATATCTCAATAGGTGGATTGGTGCTGTGTCTTTAGTGCAGAGGCGTTGTACTGATTTGTTGTGGTGAAGAGAGAGCTGAGACGAAAGGTAAAGCTCTCGATTTACTGATAGATCTATGTTCCTACCCTCATCTATGGTCACAAGCGTTGGGCAGTGCCCGAAAAAATGACATCACACAGTAAACAACACACACTAAAATGAGTCATTTTCATACATGCAACGTGTGATTTGGTGTTTTCTTCCTGAAAAATTATTAGACATAAAAGTTTTACTGAAATAAAAATTGAGAGATAATAAATCAAATTAGTACTTATAATATTTCACCGGCAGGAAATTTGAAAGATAATTTAAAATGAAGTTTAAAATTTTTAATTTTTTTTCTCACTTGCATATTTGAGCTCCATGGTGGTGTGACGGTAGCTTTGTAACCTCACAGAGAAAAAAAGGTCTGGTTTGAATCTGCTGTGGGGTCTGCTTTGTGCAGAAAGGGTCTGTGTGGATTTTTCGCTACAAACACAACTTTGGATGTTGATCAGTCAACGTGTCACTGCCCCATGGTGGACAGCAAGCCTGTCTAGAGTAGGTCTGAAAAGAATAAAGCAGGTAAAATGACACATTCAGACGTGTTCCTAAGGACTGCCTAAAGACGCAAAGATCAAGGCTACGGTTTTCTTTTTGTTTTGTTTGATTTTTTTGTAGCCTTGTCCTACAGAATGCTTCTGGCTTCTTGGAAGAGATTGTGGCAAACAAAACAGACGTTTGCCCTGAATAGTTTGTCTAAGATTACATATCTTGGTTTCCAGAGTTGTGAAGTTGTGCAGATTTCCAGTAAGTGATTTAAAAAATTAATAAAACGTTAGTATAACATTTACAATTTATATTTTAAATCACCTGTTGGATAAAACTTTGCCTTTTCAGTGTTTGATAAGCTGTCTTTGGGTTATTATTGATCCAATTCGAGGTTTAAATTAAATAAAATATTCAAATGCATGTTTATCAGGCATCAGATGCTAGCTTACAATTTAACTGCAGAGCCAAGAAAGCTAAATCTGACTGAAAATCAGAAAGAAAAATAAACAGAACCGACTCAATTTGAAGTTCTGAGGAGAAGAGACATCTCTTTCTGCAGAGAAAATTCTGCAGGGGGGTGGAGCGATTGGCCTCCAGTTTGTAACAATGCAATGTACAACTGTTTGTCTGCAACAGGTGGAGCGATATGGAGGGGGGGGGGGGGGGGGGATTGTCTGGTGTATTTTTCTCTGTCGCCATGACAAAATTAGTCGTACACTAGCAAAAAACAGCTGTCTACAAGAGAGGTGTAGATGTGACAGAAACAAAATGACCAAGCAGGTTTCTACTTGTGTCTTTTCTCAGTAACGACTGTCAAATGTGCACTTATCTGTGTTTTTGGTGGTAAAAACTATTAATTATATTTTTACAAATGATCTGAACAAGGGTAAAAGAAGGCATGCAGGATAGCACATGCTTCTAATCAGTGGCGGTTTTACCATTAGGCATAGGTTGGCGGCCACCTGGGGCCCCCTATGTTGGGGGGCCCCCTAGCCCTGATTGCTGGCACCCCTCTGTTAATCCCATAATGGACTATTCCTTTAAGACGCCGATACACAAACAGGAAGTGATTGGTAGTCATTCCACTCCAATCCAGTTGGTGGCAGTAATGCACCAAATTGTTGTTTGCCAAGTGCCATAAGACCACAAATAAGCAGAAGAAGAAGAAGAGAGGCGGGAGCATTCGTAACAAACTTGAAGCGGTAGTCAAAACACTAAGCATGAAATGGAGCTATCCTAGTGGCTCCAATAAGAGAAAGAATCAGCTTGCTTTAACCCTCCCACTGTCCTAATGGGTGTGACCCCTCGAGGAAAGTAGACCATTGAGTAGGATTGATGGTTTATCCCTTGAGGTCCATGTGGCAGGGATGAGGGGTGAGCATCACCTCACCCCTGCCACGCGGACCTCAAGGGATAAACCATCAATCCTGCTCAATGGTCTACTTTCCTCGAGGGGTCACCCTTAAAGGCAGTGGGAGGATTAAAAAAGCTTTTGTCTTCACTTCCAAAAGTGACATTGTTTTTTAATGTAAACATCAAAAGGAAGCAGAAAAGGAAAGACAATGGAAAATGTTTAAAGGGAGGAAAACATAGACCAAAATGGAAAATAGAAGAAAAAAAGAAAAGCAAAAGCACAGGAGCACTGACAGGAAGAAGAAAGCAGAGCAAATATTGGAGGCACTCAAAGGGAGAGAAAGACAGGAAAAAAGCGGAGGACTAATAAAAAGTGAAAATAACTCATGTCAGAAGAGGAGAGAGTTTTGCAAATCCAGTTAAAGATAAGATTGTTGAAAATTTAGTGTAAGGGGGCCCCGTGTTTGTGTTCACCTTGGGCCCCCAAATTGCTAAATCCGCCACTGCTTCTAATCATAATCACCACGACAAACATACAACAGTTTTGTGTAGTAAAATACATGAGCTGAGTTTCAGGCATGCATAAGGATTTGCTACTCATAAAACAGCCACGTCAAATAGGAAAACTGCTCTCCTCCCATTGCATCAATACCTACGTCAGTAAACCTGTGACCAGTGATTAGCATGACCATCTACCAACTGATGACAAAGGCCTTGCAAATGTGAAACGATCCCCGTTAAAGCTCACAAGCTTTTCCATACCGCTGCTCCAGATTTAGGTAGAGCAGCGGTCCAAAAGTCAAACGTGATCTGGTGCTCAAGCCAGGCTGCAGATGATAACTCACACACAGTGGCTGTTAGTGAAGCAGTAAATATTTGCTGGGTTGGCTTGGCCCCTCAGGCTTGACCCACTAAACACAGTCACTTACATCACCTCCATCGTCACTGCAACAATATGCACGACAGCCAGGACTCAGCCAGCTGCACGCTACTGACAAATCCATATGACAAAGCTCAAGTCTGCAGCAGAACGAGATATGTGAACTCCTTTTTGGCTTCGGCAAAGAAATCATGACATCTTGATTAGATTTCCAGACTTAAAACAACTCTTATAAAAGGATTTTTGCAAGAGGATCCATGCATCTACATGTCTGCTGAGAGGAGGCGTTAGAGGGGAAATTTATTGATTTTGCTTCTTGTTTATGTGGAAGAGAAAGCACACCTTATAAAGTGTACCATTCATTCAAAGTTGTACATCAAAGAGCCTTTATTTAATCAAATCTAAGAAGAAGATGTTTGTGGCGTCCATTAAATCAATAAAAATTTGTGAATGTAACAAATGGCGATTATTTTTTAGCAAAAATTGCGATTTTAATTCACAATTTTGTCTACCACCCACCTCAACTCCCACCCCTGTCTGACAGCACACTTCTACACAAACAACGCTTATTTAAAAACACTTTTGCTATTTTTACCCAAAGTGAAGGTCTATATTTACCCTAGCAGTGGGGGGCAGTACATACCAAAATAATTACAAGCACGTGGTATTTATGTGTTTGGGTACGACATTACCAACGTTGGCCATTAGGGTGAAAAATTCACAAACACATCAGACTCCCTTTCATCACTGGCAATGAGTGACGAGGTAAATGTGTAAAACAACTACGTTTATGACTGGGGAAAGTTTTGTAACAGTTTGTTACTAATCAGTAAATGCGTTTTTGTCCTCACAGGCTCCTATAGAATGAAACATGGCGTTTTCATGCATTTTATACCTGATTTTTATGGTTATATGTTAAAAATCCACCAATATTTTTCAACAACTGAACATCATTTCATTAATTTTTAACAACACTTTGATTGATGTTTAATAGTAGAGATAGAGATTAATAGTAAAAACTACACAATGTCACTTTAAGTCAAAATTTTCTTGGAAACTTCCACTTTTACTTGATTAATTTGACCCTTTTATCTTCACTTTTACGGAAATTAAAAAGAACTTGTTCCAGCACGGAAAACAATTGCCAAGTAATTACACTTCAATAAAAGCTGAAATGTTATTGAATTTCACTGGGGCTGTCAAATGTGGGTTTCTAGGCTGATTTTTGCCATTTTATACACATTTGGCATCAATCAGCCTGGGAGTTACTAAACTTATTAAAGTGCAGTTTTATTTTTGGACAGATCAGTGTTGGATATTGAAAAATATACATTGGTCAACCTTTTCTGTTAATTAAAGGACTTGGTGTCCTCCTGGAAGTTTGACACAAGGTCAGATAAAGTAGTCCTCAAATAAACTGCACTAAGACTGTAAACTATACCCTTGACTGCACAAGATATGAATTTAAAACTAAAGTTGTAATTGTAGTAATGTAAAAAAATACAACAGGTGAAGAACGTGAACGGTATCATAAAGAACATGAGAGAACAACTGAGTTTTCTATGAATAAAGCCTCCGGAAGTCAGGAAAAACAGTCCTCATACAGTCAAAAGCAAAGTAAACATGGTTGAGTGACTGTCAACACGGCGGTGGTAGGTTAGTGATTTGGATTTTTGCTGGAGCCTTTGGGACATTTAAACATTTCAGTGTCAGCATGAATTTATCTGCAAAAAAAGTTATTCTAAAAGGACATTTGAATGTGAAATTAGGCTCAAAGAGGGTCTGCGAGTTGCCTCAAATCAACAAGAATGGAGTCAAGTTTATCCCATGATGCAGCTAAAACCCCAATATGAATATTTGTAAAATTATGTAGGAGAACCATTATAAAGCAGTGCTTAAACAAATTTCTAAAACAGATGTGTTGTAAAAAAATAAAAGAGTGGTCCATGCTCATGTGTGAGACTAAAGTGTTTTTGTTCTACAAGCTCCTAAATCAAATTTATTTATTTATTTTGTTCAATATGTAACAGAATTTTATTTCATGTGTTATTTTTCACACAAGATGCTTTTCATCTGTATTTTTAACCTGGAAAGGTCTATGTTTATGCTAATCGGAACTTTCCATTTACCCTATCACATGTGATGGTGAGTGTTTTCTTTATCCTCGTACTTTCCTGTCACCAAATTGCAACACCTCACTATTTTTCATCCATTTACCCTGCAGAGAGGGCCAGGTCAATTTCGAAGAGGTTTTAAGAAAAGCCAACCTTTGTGAGAGCACAGAAAGGATGTCACATAATACTGCCTTGAAGGATTCTAGCACAAAAGGGGGCGAAGGCAGCAAATAAAACATTCAGACCAACTTTGGTGGGAGGTGGACCCCTGAGAGAGGGGATTAGGTTTCTAGGGAACGTCTCTAAAATTGAGTTCTTAGAAGCTTTGTCTCTTGGAGATTGCAGAACCGGGAGAAGCTGCTGGACCAATCTGGACCACGACATTCCTTTCCAACAAAGCCAAGCTATGGATTTTGCTATCATTTACATCAAGTTAAAGGTGAGTACTGTGGGTTCACTATTATGATCTACTTATTTCTAAATTTTCACTGACAAATCCAAACAATATTTTAAATCAATAAAACCCCGCTCTTATCCCATGCCTGACTACCAATCAGAAGCGGAGAAGCCTCATCAGATGTAAGCTCTGGTATGTTTGCCTCACATGGTCTACTCTGGGTTCAGTCAAGCAGATGAGCATGTGTGGTGATGGCTCCTAAAATACATGGAGAATAAAATGGAGCCACTGGCAGCATGGTGTAAATGTTGAGAACAATGGTATCTTGGAAACAATTCAATAAGTGGGACATTTCCAGGAAAATTTGCCAATATTTTTTTTGCTTATTCAATGACGTTTATAATAGGACCTTGAAGAAATCAGTTTGGAATTACGTTTAGGTTACGAAATACTTTAGTGACAAGGTCTGGACCAATTGTTCTTGTGTTTTTCATTTATTCAATCAAATGCACTCAAAATTGTTGATTCAAGTTCAAACACAACAGAATTATTTGTGTCGACTGACAAAAGACCTTTAGGGGGCAACTGAGGACCACAGAGGTCATTTCCACACTGAAGATAGGGTCAAAAGTCAAGAACGCACAAACAGCAAGAATCTGCTCACATAACCTGAAAGCTGAAAAAGTCAAAATAAGAATTTACTGACAGCACACAAATGACTCTAAAAGCACCATTTGAATACTTCAATGTCTGAACATTGTGTTGTAGAAATCCTCCTCCTTTCTGTAACTGTAGTCACAGTTTGACAGCCTGCACCTACATGTTGCTATTAACCAAAGCCATCCTTCCCCCTGTGGAATCAAGCAATGGCAACATAATTGTAAAGCATGACTACTCCACTGATATGCCTATTTATTGAAGATGGGTTTCTCTGCATGGTGCAATCAGATGGGAAGGGCAGGGATGCCTTTTCTAGAAATCAGTTCTTGAGAAGATTTATTGTCTTTTTTCAGCATTCTCATGCTCTGTTGACGATTATTTCAATGATGCTTCCCCAGTAATTGCTGATTCTAAGGAAATTTGCTGTGGAGTCAAAATATGTAAAAAGTGTGGATATTTGCACAACCTGACCTTTCCCAAAGCAACCCTGAACTTGTTACAGTCATAGCAATGTAATAAAAGTCTATTAGTAAAAAGGCGCCCAAATCTTTCACAACAAACTACTTTGCTGTTTTTCTACTTTAAAACTGTATAAAACGAAATAAAAAAAATTATAAAACAATTTGTGATGTTTGAAATAAATAAGGCATTTTTGACTTTGTGGCTTTTCGAGGTTTCAGCTGAGGAACTTCTAAAATTCATTATTGTTTAGTGTAGGCCGGGGGTCGGCAAACCGTGGCTCTGGAGCTGCATGCGGCTCTTCCATCCATCTGATGCGGCTCTCTGTGCTTGTAAAATAATGAATGGATATTTAAATAAAATGCTTTATATTTTACTGCATTCATTTTACATCTGTATGCCAATTCTATGTAACGATTGTCTGCGTAAACCTGAACAGTTCCAACCCGGTCTTACTGTGAGACCGGGTTGACGCGTCACGCTTGTGCGTAATCATAGGCTCTTTCTGAGCTGAAGAGGATGTGAGATTCTGGGATTCTCCTCAGATGGCTCCTGGATGTCTCGCTACATTGGAGACCAGAACAAGCTCTATTCAGCCAAAGTTTCATAATCGGGGAACATTTTCTAAGTGACAAGTCTCGCTTCAGTTGGAGGAATCTTCCTGCATGCGCTCTGGTTCTGCGACGTGCTCCAAGCCTCTCTCCTTCAGCTCGCTGTGCACCGTACGTACGCGCTGACAGCAAGCTGCGCTGAGCAGTGTCCAGCTCAGATGTTGAGATGGGAATCTTTTCTTGAGTGATTTAGCTCTATCTCCGATGTGCGTAACGAATAAAATGTCAGTTCGTCTGCATGCGTCGGGGAAATTCTTTCTATTCTTTCTCCATCAAAATAAAGGGACAAATACGGGAACTATCCGGTCAACACAAGCCCTGCTTTTAACTGTTCTGTTTTCTTGTGAAAATTGTTGCAAAGAGATATAATTTAACTTGATTAACACCGGAGCCAGGCGCACTGCGCATCTCCGTCACTGTAAATGAGGGAAAAACAAAATGATCGGATCCTTTTCTGACCTTCCCCACCTACAAAGTTTAATTACAACAATCAAACGTGACAGAGCCTGGATTTGTATTCTGAACAGTCCAAACATGTTTAAAAAAAACGTATGACAAAAGTGGCACCTGCTCAGTAAAACCACCAACAGGGTGAAAGATATCAAAATATTGTAGGCAGAGACGGGCTACAACTTCTGGATCCACTTTATATAAATCGTTTTATTGATTATCGTCTTATGAAAGATAACTTTGACGTACACGAGCGACCGGTACCGGCTGCTGTCACCTGTTGTGATTGGTTAAAGCAGCTCTCTGCTGTCTGAGGGTAGGCCCCGCCCACACCGTCGTGGCTGCTGTGGCTCCCAGTGTTTTCTTTACTGTGGGAAATGGGTAATAATGGCTCTTTGATGGGAACAGGTTGCCGACCCCTGGTGTAGGCTCTGCACAAACTAACAAATGCAGAATCAGGTGTTTAGAAAACTGGTGATGATGTGATTTATGTTCAGTTTGAAGAATATATAAAATCACAATTACAGCTTTTTGAATGTCTGTTTAAAGAAATGGAAGTTATGTCTTGCAGGCCGGATAAACGAATGTAAGTCAAATTTCCTTCACAACGCACTTCTCAAGACTACAGCAGCGTATAAAGTATCTTGTAATAGCGAGAAAGTTTCACGTTTTAACGTGATATCCTTAAAATGCGATATAAATCTCGTTTTGATGAGAAAGTTTCTCAAAGTAACGCGTTTAATGCGTAATAATATGAAGGATTATATCGGTAAAACAGTGGTTATACATTGTGGAGTTAGAATGAATGTGGCAGCTATTCTATGTTAACGTACAACAGCGCAACAACAAACGGCGTAAAAGCGCCAAACTACAGTGTTTGAAACAACATATTATGCTCGCTAGCTCTCTTCTCAGCAGACTGGCTGCACCAAGCACCCGTTGCCAAGGCAACAGAATGAACGCTCTTCATACCTAGAGGTTGTGTTTAATTGTAGGCAAACAACATTAAAACACCTACAGACTTCCCACACAGAGAGAACATGCGCGTGTAATATCAGGACATATATTTTACGCATATCGTTTGTGAATGTGAACGTTTCTAAATGTGAAAAAGCACAAACAGAAAGTCAACTTTTAATTTGAAAGCTGCACCAAGTGAAAGACGAGCTGAGGAAAGAGTGGAGGAACATGTCCTTCTGGCTTATTACTGCTTCTTAAAAAGATAAAGAAGATCTCTCTGACTCTATCTCACTTTATTTCTTCTGGATGTGATCGATTCATCTTGCAAGATGTCGGTAGTTCACCCTGTAGAGCTTTCTCCTTATTACGAGTTATGAAACACGTTATTTCGAGAAACTTTCTTGTTAAAACAAATTATATATCACACTAAAATGAGATTTATATCAAGTAACAAGAAAGTGTCACGCTTTAATGAGGAAGTTTTTCGTTATTACGAGATAATGATGCTTAAATATGCTTCCGTACATCTTGACTCGCAACGGGGAAAGCTGTTGTTGGTTTAATATCCAGGAAACAGCAGGGAACGTCTCGGAAATTTTTCACCACCCAGACTTTCACAGCCAAAACAGTTCAATAACACATTCAATTTAGAGATTTCAGAAGGCTTAAAAAAATGCATAACTGAACATCATAACAGTGGGAATATCTTTAAATGAACATAAAATGTGCTGAAGAGGCAGCATGTAGATTAAAAACGACAAGGGCCCAGGACTGAGCCCAGTAGAACGCCACAATTCAGCTTCCTTGGGAAAGATCTAAAATGAGATGTAGCCACATTAACCAAGCGGTCTCTGAGGTATGAAGAAAACCACTGTAGTGTGGTTCCTGATACTCTCACACAGTATTAACCTGTCTAACAAAATACAGTATGGTGATCAAAAGTATCAAATGCTGAGGAAAGACAAAGTATGAGAAGGACAAACACAACCAAGACCAAAGTGTATTACTGTCTGCCTGAAACTGTTTTAATCTCCAAAATATCATAACACACTACCGTTATTTTTCCTCACAAGCTGATTTACATAAGATTCTGTGATCATATGCTGTCATAAATGTCACCGGCAGCGGACAAAGGTTGCTAGGGTAACAGATTTTAGTCTTAGCAATGAATGGGAAAGCCATTAGCTCATCAATCCTGTCAGATATAATTGCAGTTGTTCTGATCTATTGGAACAAATATTGCTAATCTTACAATTTTGTAACAAAAATAAATTTTTGAAATTGTACAAAAATAGAATTACAAATAACAATGTTATATTTGCAGATGGATTGAAGGTAAAATACTCCGATGTAAAATATTATATAAAAAAGGTTTAAAATGACACATTAAAAATAAAAACAAGACAGCCAGAGATGCTAATTCAATCAATTATTTTGGTATTTTATTAGCAAACAACAAGATCATCTTTATTTAAAAGGACCAGTTTAACAAAAGAAATGTTAAAGTGAGAGATTTATTAGACCTGCTGACAACAAGAGACTCACAAAATCAGTCATGTGTGAGATTTCATGCATAAGCATAAGATTTTTTTTTACAAACCAACAACTGCAGCAACAACTCACTCTAAAACAAAAGTTTGAACGTCCTACTGATGGAGTTAGGACTCTCGTGACTAACTCAAGTCCTGAACAGATTAGCGCTGCTTTAAACTTGCAGAGCAATCTTTGCCTTACAAAATCTACTTTGAAACCAATCTTTGAACCCTTCATTCAGATTTCAACACAACACCTCCACTGCACCGTTATCTGATTCATCTCCATAGAGCAACTGAACAGCCACCTGCGTCTGTCTTAAAAGAAACCACAGCACCCATTCAGGGGTCTGTCTCGCACTCATATTTCATTAAACACACCATTTATCTCTGGGTTTCAAAGGAATCTACAAAGCTGTGAAGCAACTGGAAGGAAGAGTCAAACATTTCACAGCTAAATATAAAAGTTTTAGTAAAGAAGAGCAAAAAATGCTTCCAGGTCGGAAAAAAGGAGCAGAAAAACAGCAGAAACACGCCTAATCAGGCTCAATGGCATGTAGAGTGTGTGTGCATATGTGGGTGAGGTGGTGTTGTATTGATCGAGGGTTGGTTGTTATAGTCACAGGTCTAACCAAGCTGTTTTTAGCACAGTATAATACAGTAAAGCTTATTTCCCTGCTCCCAAATAAACTGAGCATTACCACGTATTAAAGTCAGTCATCCCTGAAGGCCCCTGCATGTATCCATCCTCTTGTGTGTGTGTGTGTGGGGGGGGGGGGGGGGGGTTAGGTGTAGGATTTTCTCTGAGCTCACTCTGGCTAAAAACAGAGACAGAAAAGCCCACACCCATTGTCAGACAGGGAGCTGCCCACGGCGAGCCAAAGGTGCAACGTGTGGAGCCAAAACTAGTCAAAGCCCTTTGTCGTGCATGCTTGATCCAAGGGTCCACCTGTGCATCTCAAATCTGATTTTGCATGCTTCTGATCTCTAATCCAGAGAGAGCATTCCTCTCTTTCCACATTGTGGATAATTGAGCGTGAGGTGCAGTTTTATGGGCCGCTAGCCAACCTCCATCCATGGGTCATGATGGAAGCTGTTTCTCCAGCCAAGGGGGCGTGAATCTGATTCCTTGGCAAGAATCCAGCTGCAGCACATGATTGCTACTTGCTAAGGTGATGAAGCTTGCACAGAAAACATAATCACATAACACCTTTGGAATCTTATGAGGGAAACAAACTCTGAGGTGATGAAGAATGTGGAGGAAAAAAATCTCATGGATGCGAGCAAAAGCCACATGATGCAAGAACTCATCTACACCAGATGCTTCACTTTACTGTCACCATAAGCCCCCTGTCATTATTTGCTAACAGCTGGAAAACAGCTGTTTGTGCACAGAGCAACATATTCTCACCTGCCCGAGGTCCAAGGTTACGTTCACCTGATTGTAGACCGTTCCTCTGGAGAGAGGAGGGCTCTGCCACCAGCGCTCTGTCCCATCTATTGCATTGGTCACAGGGTGGGCGTTGTTTGGTGTGATGGAGTTGCAGTGGTCACAATACTGACCCTGAAAGTTAGAAGATCAAATTAGAAGAAGATCAAATCCACAGCAGAAAAACAGCATAGGAAGCACACAAATCAGACTTCGTAAAAGGAAGGCATTTGATGAGAGTGGGTGATGTTGATGGATAATTCCTTTAGGGAATGTGGGAATGAGCTAGAGTGTGTAAAACTATTTCTGGCACTTGACTAAGTTAGTCAGGGCAAAGAAAATCTCAAAGGGTTCCCTGGGGGTTTTATGCACTTGCCTTTGAATGAAGAGGAAGGACCATAATAATAATAATAATAATAATAATAATAATAAATGCATTCCATAAGTGTAAATATATAAACTTTTTATAGTGCCTTTCTTTGTTTTTACGCATAGATTTAAGTTACCTGAATATTTTGGGTAGGAAGTCCAACATTTGGTCCTCCAACAAGCTTACAGTATAAATCATCTCTCGGTGAGCCGGTTTCATCCTGACCACAGGTTGCTGAGGCAGAAATCCTAGAGCCCTCGGCCAGGTTAAAGTACGGCGGGTTAAGGCTGAACCCAGTTAAACCATTAAACGTTTCCTGTCCATTCGCGTCCCTGAAAAATGTTAAAATCCCAGAGGAGAAAACTACAACGAGGAGATGAACACCCATCATCCACCTCGACGTGATCTCCGTCACAGACCCCTGTAGATGCTGAAAGCAACCCGCCGCCTGCGCGTCATCTGGAGACGTCCGTGAAATGCGCAAAAGCGATAAGCCGGTTAAGCGCGAGGCTCTTTCTCCGTCTGAACTCTAACAAAAACGTTGCGTTGATCCGTCGCTATGGAGGAGGTGCGCCTCAAAGGAACGAGGCGAGGTCTTCCTTGTTCCGACCTGAACCGCGCGCTTCAGTGGAGTGAGTTCTCAGGTGTCGAGCTCGCTCTGAGATGGGCTGAGCTCGACTCTAAAGTGCGCTGCCGAGGGAGAGGGGCCAAAGGTCTGCCAACACAATTCACACTGCGTTTACTACACCACCCAGGCACGTGTTGTGTTTCTCCCATTATTCTTCTTTGGAAATGACGTGTTAAACTGCCCTATATTGGCCTCTGCTCAAATCACGAATTTAAACATTTTTCTGGTTTAATTTAAACCTCTATAATCTCCTAAAAGTGTATTCCTTTTTTAAATTAAACCTGCAAGGTTATTATAATAACATAAATCAACGCATGTGCGTAATAACAACATAGAAGAAGCATATTCAAATTGCAATATGTCATTTAAGCTTAAAATTGTGTTTATTGTTGTTATTTATGTTTCAAAATCCGACGAGCTTCGCGCAATGATTACTCAGTGAGTTTAAGGCGCCATTTAGTGGACAAAGCGGACATTACATGCCATCAGATATAAAATAAAAATTCCAGTGCGCATAATCAGTGCGTCGCATGTTTTTGGATCAATGTCTTTCTGTTTTCGAAAAAAACTGTCTAATCTGAAATATTAAAATGTTTAAAATAAACTGATTTGGGGTTGTTTACTCCTGCTGCTGTTGTTGCACAACAACAATGAAAGGCTGTGACTCATTGTCATCGCTGCCATTCTTCAGGCGGGTAGGCAGGTTTCTTTGCAGCTGAGGAAATGATAAGAAAACAGGAACTGACTTTTTAAAACGAAACTGGACTTCTGTGGAGCAGACGTTGAATCTTCTAACTATCCAACTCCGCATGGAGCCAACAAATCTGCAGGTAGGAGGACTTAGTTTCTCGGCTGGAAGCTCCACATTCAGGCATGAACTTCTCAGACATAAAGAAAATAAAAATCAGTTTGACAGGTTGTCCTCAGAAATTACACGGGGACTTAACTAGAAACTGAGGCATGAAGAAAACCACTGTAGAACCACTGTAGAAACTGATGGATGCAATAAAATACCCATATTATTCCAGTTTTTACACGTCTCAAAGGCCCGTAGATTAAGTGTGTTTTTATGTGATTTTTGTGAAAAATAATCATGTGTGCGGTTTTGTGTCATTTTCAGGTCGACACAAATGCAACTTTGTGATTTTTCTTTTGAACTTTTAATGATAATAATAATTTATGACCGCTTGGGACACAGGCTTTTGTCTGGTGCATTTTTAACTTCTAGAATAGCAAAAGTTCATAAATATAACATTTCAAAACCTTTAGCAAATTAATTTGAACATTTAACTTAAACAGGACAGCAGTTTCATTTCTGTTGTTTTCCTTGTAACGGTTGGTCCAATAAAGGCCTTTATTTCATCTTTGTTTATATTATTCCACCTTGCCCATCCCTTCAAGTTTGTTCACTTCATCATCTTTTTGCAAGATGTTGCCATGATTTTCACCGACAAAGAATAACATATTTTAAATGTCAAGCAAATATTTTAAAATGTCTGGAATATGAAAATGTATCATTTTTTTTATTGCAGAAAAAAATAACAAATTTTGACTTACTTGTGCAGCTAAGGCTAAAAGTCGGAATGGGAAGCTTTTAAAAAAGTATCAAGTTGTGCAATAAAATCCATTTTTTAATTCAACTTTTTACCAGAGAGAATGACAATTTATTTGATAAAAAATTATTCATTACATGAGAAGAAGACTGTAAATAGTCTCATCAGACACACATATAATTTACTTCCATTTGATTCATGTCAATTTTAGCATAAACTAAACATTTCAAGTGTTATAAATAGCATATACTTATTTTAGATGTATTTAAAACAACAGATTTGACCTGTATCCTCAAAACTGAAAACAAACATATTTCCTGTTTGTAAATACATTTGTAAATCAAACAATAAAATGTAATTGAATTATTGTATTTTTCGCCCTTTCAGAAAGCTATCGCTGTAGCACAGAAAGCCTCACAGGAGGACCAGGATGGAAATTACAAGGAAGCCATCCAGTCCTACAAGCATGCCGTCAAGTACTTTCTTCACATTTTGAAACGTGGGTCACCGGGGACACATGATGCAAATACCGTCACAGTTATATTATTTACTGCATGACTGTCATGCTCTACAACATAAATTATTCCCAGGATTTTGTTTGTATATGCAACATAACTGTTTTTATTAAACTCATATGCAGTAAGAGCAGATGTTTTACTTGGACTAACTTTTGTTCTCCTTCCATAGGTGAACCTCAAGGTAAAGATGGAAACCAGAAGATTAGAGATAGATGTAAACAGTATCTGGACAGAGTGGAAGAACTACAAGAGTACCAATTGAATAAAGAGGTCACTCAAAAATTACATTTTCATTTTCCTCCAAACGTGGACGGTAATGTTTGTGATTCTGATTTTAGATCAGTAGCTGCTTCAAGTTGGGCAGTTTCAACAATTTTTTTTATAAACAATTATTTAGTTTAAAATGTATAAAAACGATCTATGCAAATATAATATAATATAATATAATATAATATAATATAATTATTAATTAACTGTTAAATTACTATTTCTATGATTAGCTGGTTCTACTAAAGTCCTCTTGGGAGAGGCGATGAGCTACGTCTTGACGTCACACATTCCGTGCACGCGAGCATCGACTTTTTAATGCGGAAGTAGTCTCGATCTGACTCTGAAGCGAACCAAACACGAAAACAAGTGGATTAGAAACCTTAGTTTTCGCGTTAACAATTAGCCCAGACTTCTAAATTCCAAAGAATATTGTTTAGAAGTCGTTTTCTGACGGCGGCGTTACGTTTGTTTTGGCTTTTGGACGTGTTATTTAGCCGTTATGGCCAACAATAATTTACAGGTAAGTGAAGGACCAACCCTGGAGCTGGCTAGAACGTATTCACAACACACAGAGGAAAAAAGTTATTTACGTCGTTTGAAAACTAGTGAAAACTCCATTATATAGTAATTTGGGTGTATGACATAGTTTTCATGATTTGGGCGGAATATAATAGCTTAAAACGATGTTTTACAGCGTAACGGTTGTAACAATAGCCGCTAATTAGCATGTTGAGCTAAGCCAACAACAACTGACACCGACTCTGCGTTTCTTTATCAAAGTTATTTTTGCGACATTTTTAGCAGGATATACTGCCGTTAGCTTCTGATTTCTAAATAAATGTCATTAACTTACCTCTCAAAATGTATACTCTTAATTATGGATAACATTTAAAATGGCTGTTTTGTTTTGCTTTTACTATAAATCTTTTGCCAATTACATTTTTAAAGGTGAGTGACCATAAGAAAGTCAAATTAAATGATTGACAACCAGGCTCGGGACTCCCACTTTGTGTCAGGCGTTACCAAACAGAACGGGTGAAACAGTCTGACTTAAACAAACAGTAATAGATGTGTTTTTATGAGTTTTGCTTACCTAATCAATTTATGGTAGTTTTTATCCACTAATTGGATTGGAAACACACCAGATGTGGTTTTATAAAATTTCCTTTACATTATCACATGAAAAAACACCATTAACATAAATTCTCTATATATATTATCCAATGGTAACTTACTATTTAGAAGTCTGGATAAGTGCATTCAAGGTGATCACAAATCCATTATTTCCCATGTAGAATGGTCAATAAGAATCATTATTGAGACAAACTATTGTATACATACTAACAACTGATTCAGTATCATGCATGTCTTATATTTTTGCTTTACTGACACTTAAGGTGAAAAGCTAGTGCGTTAAAAAACATAGTTTGACAGTAATATAAATGTGTCCATAGATCTCATGTGATGCAAAATGAGTAACATCTGAAATTCTGCATGGATTTAGTTAGATTTAAGAAGGGGAAATAAATGTGAGCTGTAAATATTTTTCAACCACAGTGATTAAAAAAATTTGGTGAAATTAGAAAAAAGTTCAACCTACACATAGCCTGAGTAATTAATGTGTCTCTTATTTTCTAATTATTGAATTTGTTTGTACATTTGAAAATATGCCCTTTGTGTAATTATGATTATCTTTAAAATAGAGAAGAATTTGTAATCTTGTTGTCAGTATTTAAAGGTGAGTTATCTATTAACATAGATGTTTGTCTGTTATTTCAGAAAGCCATTGATCTTGCCGGCAAGGCTGCTCAGGAAGATAAAGCTAAGAACTATGAAGAGGCTCTTCGCCTGTATCAAGCTGCTGTTCAGTACTTTCTACATGTGGTAAAATGTAAAGAAAACACAGTATTTTGTGTTATATGACAAATGATAACTTAAGGAATCACAGTTTGAGGATTATTGCTCAAGCATTTTTTTGTTGTTTATTCTCGTGCTGTCCTGCCCATTTTTGGTTCCATGTGTTTAAAAGAAACACAAGATGTAATAAGTCATTGAAGTGGTCATTTTAATTAGAATTACAAAGAAGGCCCAATTTCAGTAACACATTTCTTGTGCCTGGACTTATTTTTTCTATTTGGACTCCTTACAGATGAAGCGCAGGGTGACAAAGCAAAACAGAGCATCCGCGCAAAATGTGTTGAGTACCTAGACAGAGCGGAGAAGCTGAAAGAATACCTGAAGAAGAAAGACAAAGCTCCTCCTGCGAAGCCTGTCAAAGAGTCACAGTCGGAGGAAAAAGGGTGTGTTAGTGGGTGTGGCTGAGGCCAGGCTCTGCTGATGTGATGTCATTCACATATGGCTGGAGAAATGGTTTCCTCTTTATGAGTGAATGTGAGAAAATATAGATATGAAAAGTGTGTAAATACTTATTCTTGTGTTCAGGAATGAAAGTGATGAGGGAGATGATCCAGAGAAGAAGAAGTTCCAAAATCAACTTTCAGGTAATTAATCTATTTTATCAGTGCGTTACATTATTGCATCTGTTACAGGCACATGTGAAGTGAAAACATTTTTAATAAATCTAACATTTAAGAATCTCTGTGTACAATTAAATTCCCTTTCAGGTGCAATTGTCATGGAGAAACCAAATATCAAATGGAACGATGTTGCTGGTTTAGAGGGAGCCAAAGAGGCCCTAAAAGAAGCTGTAATTCTTCCCATCAAATTTCCACACCTTTTCACAGGTTTGTCCATCACATTACTTGACTAATAAATAATGGACCCTTTTTGTTTATGAAAGATTATGGTGTTTTGATAGCATGTTTTTATGGGTTGCATTATTGTACTGTTTGTCAGGAAAGAGGACTCCATGGAGAGGGATCTTGCTGTTTGGTCCTCCTGGTACAGGAAAGTCCTATCTGGCTAAAGCCGTTGCCACGGAAGCAAACAACTCAACCTTTTTCTCCATTTCTTCATCTGACCTGGTCTCCAAATGGCTGGGAGAGAGTGAAAAGTGGGTCTTGGAATAATAAAAAACAGCCTTTGTTTCATTAGAAGTAATGTAGAATAACAGACTTTAGTAGTTTTACTTTTTAGAAGCTGGTATTGATTGTCCAAAAGCCTTTATTTTGTTTCCCAGGTTGGTGAAGAATCTTTTCACCCTTGCAAGAGAGCACAAGCCTTCTATCATCTTCATCGATGAGATCGACTCCCTGTGTGGTTCGAGAAGTGAGAACGAAAGCGAAGCTGCTCGTCGTATTAAAACAGAGTTCCTAGTTCAAATGCAGGGTGAGTCTAATGAGCTAAAGTTAGTTATTTATTTAATAAACATTCACAGAAGTAAAATGTTACAGAATCTGGTCATGTTTTCTCATTTGTTTTTCAAAATGGGGTAATGGTTCTTGTTACTGTGACGAGACTGGGTTGAGAAGAGTTTAATTTAGTGAAAAGAGGAAGTGTGCCGCACTGCTCTACGCCTGGTTAAATAGCACAAAAGAGAACCTTGAGTTTACCAGCTGTATGGGATATTCTTAAGTTAGGCTTTAAAAGACATTTACTGTGGAATGACTGAGGAAGCGGGGAATGGGAATTTGGATAAATAAATCAGAAGTGGTTGGTAAAGGTTTCAGCATGAAAATCCAAGTCACTTCAGTATGTTATTTAGTATTTAAAGGCATTTTACTTCTCAGCCAACAATCTGACTCGGTTCTAATTGCATAAAATGCAAGGAATTTAGATTAGCGTTGATTGTGTTGTTTTACAGGTGTGGGAAATGACAATGAGGGAGTGCTGGTTCTTGGGGCAACAAACATCCCTTGGACTCTCGACTCTGCCATCAGAAGAAGGTAAGTGTTGTTAGATGTGTTAAACTGATTTGTCCAGGTATTATTCAGCAGCTCTCACTGTTTTCAAACAATATTTCAGATTTGAAAAAAGGATCTACATCCCTTTGCCTGAGGAGCACGCCCGCTCCTTCATGTTTAGGCTCCATCTGGGCTCCACCCCCAACAGTCTCAGCGACGCAGACTTCGTCGCTCTGGGCAAGAAGACAGACGGATACTCGGGAGCAGATATCAGCATCATAGTCAGAGACGCCCTAATGCAGCCGGTTCGGAAGGTCCAGTCAGCAACCCACTTTAAACGGGTACGCCAATTAAAAACGCACCAGTTTGATTCAATAAGGAAATGGGTTTATCAGTGCTTTATGTTTTTAATGTTATAAGGTACGAGGCCCATCAAGAGATGACCCTGACATTACTATTGATGATTTCTTGACTCCATGCTCACCTGGTGATCCCAACGCGATTGAAATGACCTGGATGGATGTCCCTGGGGAGAAACTTTTGGAACCAGTGGTATCCATGGTAAAAACAACTAATAAACTTTTCAGCATTCGTTAGGGGTCTGTATATGATCTGGAATACCTTTAGACGTGTGTCATATAATAGTTAAAAGGGACTTTAAATACACTAAAAGTAAATATTTTTATCAACGTCACATTGATTAATTAAATATATGCAATTAATTTAAATAAAAACCAATGACATATCAAGTGTACGGTTTTTTATTAGTTGTTAATTTTGACATTTATTTTTACTTTTACTTTTAAAGAGCAAGTCACCCCCTTTGAGAATATTACTCCACCTCCCACTTCCTGTTTGAAAAATGCAACAAATGCTGTTGCCTAGCAGATCGAGAGGGCGGAGCTGCTAACAAATACACACACACAGGCTCTCAATGACATTGTGACATCATATCGTACCAGTTCTAGGGCACCTCTTAGCCAATAGCGATGGCAGATTTAAATTCAATTGCAGTGCAGAGTTTTTACCTGACTGAGTTTTAGGCAGAAAATTTACATTTTTAACTAAAATGCATTAAAATGTAAAAATATTGACTACACGTGTCTGCAGCACGATTAGACACGCATTTATATAGTTTATCGGGTAAAAAAAGTTGATTTAGGGGTGACTTGCTCTTTAAGTTGACTTTAATTTTCTATTAAACACTGTTGATTTCACTCTAATGCGTGAGAATAATTTCAAAAATTATGAAGTTAGGTTATGCTTGATTTATTACAACAAAGTACTAATTCTAACTTTTTTTTTTTTGGTGAACAACTTGCCCTATACATGAGTTCTTGCACTGAAGACTAAGGCTGAACTTTAGAAAGAGCTGTTATCTTTTTGGATTGTGTTGGATTTGTGTTTATTAACGTGTAACACATTATTTCATTTTTCTTTTCCTCTGCTTAGTCTGACATGCTGAGGTCTCAAGCCAACACAAAGCCAACAGTCAATGAACAAGATCTAGAAAAACTGAAAAAATTCACAGAAGATTTTGGACAAGAGGGCTAAGTTGGTTTATGATGCCAAACCAAAGCAAAGAACCTGTAATTGTCCTATTTGTTTTATCTGTCTCATGCTAACTGTTCACTAAGCCTCTTGGGTTGTCTAAATGGACTTCTCTGTATTTTATTTTTCCAGTTTGATAACCATAGAAAAGGTGGGAGGCCATGATTTATGTCATATTCACTATTGTCCAGAGCAAATTAAAGGCTTGTCATGCACAGTTGTGGTTAAAATATCGCAACCACATTTGTAATTTTTTTTTTATTTAAAAGACTATTTATGACCTGAGTAAAAAAAGAGTATGTATGACCTGATTACTCAAATGAATTAGAAAAATTTGGAACGTACAAAAATATAGCAAGTAATCCTCTGAAAGTGGTGTCTTGTTTTTGTTTTCCAGAGTTTGTCAGAGTAGAATTAAAAATACACCTTTATATCGTTTCTATTTTTATACAGATAAAACAAGCATTGTGCAGCCTACACTCTACTTGAGTGTGAGAAACCTTTAAAAGTGCAAGTGGTAAGCCTTAAATTTACATATGTTAAAATGGGAATGTCCTTGACTACATTTTAGAGCTTCGAGTGAATTTGGGTTGTTTATGCGTTTTTCAGGCAAGTTAGTAGGGAGGCCTGTGTGTTCAGTCACCTTTTGAAATAAACCTTGCTATTAAGAAGGTATCACTGGTGTACCAGCTTTACATAAGCATTGCTTAAGGACTCTGAATAGTTGAATCATCTGTGGGTTTATTTCATACTGTACATATTAATGCATACCTAAAGGCTTTGCTTTATTCGGGAAAAGTAAGCCCTGTGTTATAGTGAGAGCGATTGTGGGTTGAGTTTGTGGCTAAGATGGAGAAATTATTTTTGAGTGCTTAAAGCAAATATTTGCAATTTCAGGCTTGACCTTATAGTAGCCATAATTGGCAGTGATGTGTGCACCAATGTGCCTTCTAGAAAAGCTGCATGTTTTTTTTATTTCAAAAGTAGTGAAATTTCTAATGTATAGATTAATATAAAGTGCATTGTCACTCATGTAAGTTCTTTTAGATTGTATACAGCAGTACTCTTGTTCCTGAGATGTCCTGTCACTTTTTTTTTACAGTCTATGCATTTGTCACACACTCATGAGCTTTTTCCTTTGAGAAGAGGTAATCATGGAATAAGTGTTCCTGTTTTCCACTCCCTCTGTAAATTGAAATTAAAAATTTGTCTAAATCAGTTTGTGTTTGTTAAATATATCAGAAAAGTGCTTTTGTGTATTTACAGAAAGTTCATTTGAGTCACTTTGCATTGTGGGACATAGTGTTTGAGCGTGCTCTATTAGAGTTAAACGTACCTGGTACTTGTAGAGAACTACAAGTGCCAGGTATGTCCGTGTTACGTCTAACGGTGGAAGAAGGGAAGGACTGAGTAACACAGAGGCATGTGCTTCAGGTGTTAAAATCAGAAACAAGGATTTTATTTTAGGATTTTAAAAAGGCAAAAAGCTCCAAATCTAAAAGTACTTAAAACATTGTTAAAAAGGCCATGGGTTTACATTTAATTCAATTCAAATTCAAAAATACTTTATTAATCCCAGAGGGAAATTAATTGCTGTAGTAGCTCAGAATAATAATAATAATGAAGTCAAAGAGTTATTGTATATACAATGGCTGTTGGCAGGAAGGATCTCCAGTAGCGGTCAGTGTTGCAGTCAAACTGAAGAAGCCTCTGATTGAAGACACTCTTCCGTTGTCGGACAGTCTTGTGAAGAGAATGCTCAGGGTTGTCCATAATTTTCTTGATTCTCTGGAGAATCCTTCTTTGCATATCTCCTCCAGTGGTTCCACAGTCGTCCCCAGAACAGAACCAGCCTTTTTTATTAGGCTGTTGAGCCTTTTCAGGTCCCTGCTTCTGATGCTGCTACCCCAACAGATGATGGCTGAAGAGATTACACTCTCAACAACAGACTTGTAGAAGATCTGCAGCATCTTGCTACAGACATTGAAGGACCTAAGCGTCCTCAAGAAGCGCAGTCTGCTGTGTCCCTTGTAAACTGCTTCGCTGTTCTTTCTCCAGTCCAGTCTGTTGTCCAGGTGAACTCCAAAGTATTTGTATTCCTCAACCACCTCAACAACTTCTCCCATGATGGAAACAGTGTTTGACTCCACCCTGTTTCTTCTGAAGTCTAAAATCATCTCCTTTGTTTTGTTCACATTCAAGATCAGATGATTGTTTCCACACCATGCCACAAAGCACTCCACCAGCTCTCTGTACTCAGCTTCCTGTCCATCTCTGATACACCCGACAACTGCAGAGTCATCTGAGTATTTCTGTAGATGACAGGTCTCTGATTTGTACTGGAAGACTGAGGTGTACAGGGTGAAAAGGAATGGTGAGAGAACAGTCCCCTGTGGTGCTCCAATGTTACTGATCGCCTGGTTTGATGTGCAGTTCTTCAGCCTCACAAACTGTGGTCTGTTTGTCAGGTAGTCTTTAATCCAGGGGATAGTTGAGGCCCCCACCTGTGTCTTCTGGAGTTTCTAGTAAGGTACATCAGGCTGAATTGTGTTAAATGCACTGGAGAAATCAAAGAACATGACCCTGACAGTGCTGCGTGCTTTGTCCAGATGACAGTGGGTTGGTTGAAGCAGCTGGAACTCCATGGCGATAAGCAAACTGCAGCGGGTCTTGATATGTTCTAGTTTGCTTATTCAGGTGGACCAACAGGAGTCTCTCCAGGACCTTCATGATGTGGGATGTCAGGGCAACCGGTCTGTAGTCGTCATTGACTGATGGGCGAGTTTTCTTTGGAACTGGAACAAGGCAGGATGTCTTCCACAGGACTGGAACCTTCTCCTGGGCCAGGCTGAGGTTGAAGAGTTGCTGCAGAATCCCAAAGAGCTGCTCTGCACAGGCCTTCAGTACTCTGGAGCTGACACCATCTGGACCTGCATCCTTGTTCTTGTTCAGTCTCTCCAGCTGCCTCTTCACCTGACTTCTAGAGACAGATAGGTGGGAGGGGGAGGTAAATGGGGCAGCAGCATCTCCTGACTTGGTTGAAGACAGATTTATAGAACCAGAAGAGTCCATGACTGTGTTAGAGGACAAACGAGCTGGCGTGTGACAGGAAAATGTTGGCTCAGAGGAGGATGGGATGTCTGATTGGCTGAGGACAGGCGAGGAGGATGCTGGGTTTGTTCCTGAACTGAACCTATTGAATATTTTTTTCAGTTCATTGGCTGTGTCCAGGCTGCCATCTGTGCAATCCTTACTTTGCTTGAAGCCTGTGATCTTCTTCATCCCTGACCAGACATCTCTGATATTGTTCCTCTGTAGTTTGTTCTCCAGCTTCTTCCTGTATACCTCCTTGCTGTCTCTAATCTTGACCTTCAGTTGCTTCTGTATACTCCTCAATAATTCCCTGTCTCCCTCCTTGAAGGCTCTTTTTTTCTCATTTAGCAGATTCTTCAGTTCACTGGTGATCCAGGGTTTGTTATTAGTGAAGCATATCACTGTTCTGGTGGGTATGATGTTGTCCACACAGAAGTTTATATAGTCAGTGACACATCCAGTCATGGCATTGATGTCCTCTTCATATCCTTAGCAGAGAGTCGTCCAATCTGTGGTCTCAAAACAACTCTGCAGGGCTTCTTCAGCATCCTGTGACCATTTTCTCACAGTTCTTCTTGTCACAGGTTGCCTCTGAACAAGTGGTTTGTATTCTGAGCAGAGAAAAACAAGATTGTGATCTGATTGCCCAGAGGAGGTCTTGTTTTGGACATGTATGCATTCTTTACATTTGCATAACACAAATCCAATGTCTTGTTTTCTCTGGTGGAGCAGCTGACAAACTGTTGAAATGTTGGAAGTGTAGCAGAGGGTGAGGCATGATTAAAATCACCAGATATAGCCACAAATTCATTGGGGTGCTGGGTTTGTAGCTTAGCGACAATGGAACTGATGGCATCACATGCATTTTCAGCAATGGCTGAAAGTGGAATATGGACAGCTGCCAAGACAACACTGGTGAACTCTCTTTGGAAATAATATGGGCGACAACTTACTGCCAAGAGTTCAACATCTGGGCTGCAGAGACAACATTTCACTGAAACATGACATGGATGACACCATATGTTGTTGACAAGCACTCCACCTCCTTTTCTTTTCCCACTCCTCTTCAGATCTCTGTCTGCTCGTACAGTCAGGGATCCTGGCAGAGAGACACTGGAATCTGGTCCTGCAGCCACGTATCAGTGAAACACATAACACTTTACTGCCAATACTCTGGCTGAGTCCTTGAAAGGGCTTGGAGTTCATCCATTTTGTTGGCCAGTGATCTCACATTGCCCATTATGATCGATGGAAGAGATGGTTTGAATTTCCTCTGTCTCCGTTTAGCTCCTGCTCAGCACCCACGCTTCTTGCGTTTTAGCTCATTTGGGATTTGTGGCTTCAGTTGGGGTATTATTTCAGCCTTCCCAATGTTAATCAGCTGCTCCCGATTGTAAACCAGCTTGTTGCCATGGTTACGCATCATAACAAATGCTCAAAAAGTGAAAAAGGTGAAAAAAATTGCAGTAAAAATCCTTCAAGCTTCAAGCACCAGAAACAGAGAAGTAAAATGTCCAAAAAATTACAGTTTTTCTTGAGAAACTAGAAGAAAAAATGTATATATGTCGATGGGACTAACAGTAACAGTCCGTTAAACGTACACAGTTCTGTTTGTTTTAGTACGCAATTTTCTAATTCCGCTTATTTTGTGCCATGGATTTCACATATGATGTCCGTGAATTTTAAAGACGCATTTTGATACCAAGAATGTGCTTATTTGAGGGAACGATATTTTAGGTTTTGTGTGAAAATAAGTCCATTAGGACTACAAATGTGCTTCACGAAAGTGACGTCATCGAACCAGACACGGAGAAAACTGACGGAAAAGGGCTGTAAATTCTGCAAACTTTCCACAGGAGGAAAGAACCACCATCAATCTCATTTGGTAAATAGCAGCTACTTTGGAGAGAAGAGATTATGTGGTTACGTCATATATGCGACGTGCCGATTTCTAGTTAGTAGTCATGCTAATTACGAACGTTTACAAGCTAATAAATCTCAAAATACGTGACTGGCGTGATCGAAACACCCATCATTACTTTTCATTTAAATTGCAGTACAACATATGTGTGATCCAGGGCGTAAGGCAAAGCGGATTAGAAAATGGTGTTTTTAGCCCCGTTGACTTTTCGTTCTTCCGGGGGACCCATGATGCGGAAGTGATTTAGGCTCTCTAGACAGACACCGCTTTGTTACGAGGCGCTAAAGTCCACCGCTGCACGACAACCTCACCGTTATACGTCTTTGATAAACTGCCAAAACCCGGACCGACTCCTCCTCTGAGGTCGACGTTTCTCCGCCCCCGTCTCACGGCCGTCGCCTGCTCGTATCCCCGATAATCTGACCCCAGAAACTGGCCTGCTAGTTAGCAAGCAAGCTAAGGTTTACCCCATGTCCTCTGAAGAAGGGTTGAGCTCCACGATAACAGAGTGGCTCTTCGTCAGTTCCTGGTGGCTCCTCTTGCCGTTCATTATGCTACTTGTGGTGGCTGCTTTCATCGTTGCCTTCGTGTTGCTGCTGTACATGATATCGCCTCTCATTAGTCCGAAGCCTCTGAAACTAAACGGGGCCCACGTCGTGGTAAGTGAAACGTTGCTAACTAGCATCCGCTAACGGTTACATTTGTTTTGTAGCGAGTTTGCAGTCTGAAGAAGTGGGCAGAGTTTGAAACACTACGCTTTAAAGTTAGGTTGTTTCGGCATGTTAAGTCCAGAGCTTTAATGGATAATAAACGCCGAACTTTTTGACAACAAAAACGTCTTAATGAGTCCCAGGAGTGACACGCCCACACGAGAGTAATTTAGCAACCACTATCACGTTTAATCACACTTGTCTTCACATCTGCATGTCGCTTCAGTATAGCATCACTCAATCTGACTCAATTTTACACCTTTGGTAATAATAAAATAAAAACATATCAACTGTGCTAGTTGTGGTAGGTTTGTTTATTTATTGACGTCTGAAGCCGTTTTTTTTTCAACGTGACAGAACAGTCAATGATTTAGTTTCTAGAATGAGCTGTGATGCTCTTTTAATTCTGCTTAAATGTGAATGTTTTATATTCCCTCTAATATTTAACCTGAGTGTTGTACCGATGCATTTTGGGGTATGTATACATTTATGGAACAGATAGAAATCTCAATGCTCCATAAAAAGTCTAAATTGAAATGTAAAATAAATAAATGTTGTTGTTTTTTTTGTTTGTTTGTTTATTTTAATGTAAGCAACTCTTGAGTTTTTCACCATCTAATTTAAATGCATTTTAAAGAGCAAGTCATCCCCTACCAGAATCTTACTCCACTCTCACTTCCTGTTTGAAAAATGCAACAAATGATGTTGCCTGGGAGACCGAGAGGGCGGCACCACTAACAAATACATACACAGATTCTCAACATTGTGACATCATAATGCACTAGCTAATATCTTAGTGTACCTCTTAGCCACTAGCTGTGGCAGATTTAAATTCAAATGCAGTGCAGTTTTTACCTGAAGAGGGCGCAACACCGACAGTCTTAGGCAGAATGTCTAAATTTTAACTAAGATGCACTAAAGTGCCAGATTATTGACTACACGTGTGTACAGCACAGTTAGACTCATTTGTACATTTTATCACCCAAAAAGTTGATTGGGGTGACTTGCTCTTTAAGTCTATATAAACTTCCATCTTTGTTGATTTCAAAAGCCTCTCAACTTTTTAGACTCGTCCTACATCTACAAACATTTTTGAGTTATCAGGACTTTTCCTTTTTGTGAGATTTGGGACTCTCTTAAACAGAATGCTGATTAAAAACTTGAATAGGCATTTTAAAGGGCATGGTGAACTCAGTTTGGAAGGTCAGAGGACTTTATAGCTGACTATTCTGATTTATTGTTATCAAACTTAGATGGAAAGACACTATTTTTATTCTTTGCATAAAAAGATGAAGTGAAAAATGAAAGTTTTTAGGTTTGCCTGCAAGAGAGAGATTTGTGTGAGCCGTGGTTTTAGGTAGACATGAAGTGGAGGAGGACTGTGGTGGACAACAGCATTTAAAATGATATGAGCCAAACGAGTAGGGAGGTGTAGATGGCTGGTATGTAAACAGTCATGTCTGTACTTGATGTTAGCATGTGTGAACCATGTTTGACTCACAAGTTAGCTATCAGTGCTGATGATTCTAGGTAATTTGGGTCAGCTTAGTTCAGGTGGGATCAACAACAACCCAGTTATAATAACTTCTGACCCAGATTTGGGTTGGAGCTGGAAGTTGGTGATTGTGCTCTTAGAGCAGAGGGTTCTGCATGAGCGGCGGCCTCTAGTGGCTGAATATGAAGTTTGCTAGCATATGTAGCATCAATTCCCTTTTCCGGAGTTCATCCGAGAGTCATTCTGTATCCTCTTTAGGATCGGAAATCCTTTTGTTTGTTTAAGAGCATTACGTTGTTGTGGAACAGAAGGTGGAGGATAAACATTCTGGTTAGCTTTACGGCAGGTTAATAGCTGAGCTGTTGGGTCATCAAGATCACAAACCTTGTCAAAAAACAAAAAAACTGAGATCATAGAAAGTCTCAACAATCGGTGACTGTAAGAACAGGCCTTTTTAAGGAACTTTGGGAGGAACTTATAGCATATTTTAACTGCTTTAAACTGTTCTATATTTAAGAAAAATAAAATATGTTTGGGCCTGATGGGAAAATAACTTTCTGATGTTTAGGTGACAGGGGGATCCAGCGGGATCGGGAAAAGCATTGCAATGGAATGCTACAGGCAAGGAGCCTTCATCACACTGGTGGCACGAGACGAGGTCAGTGCAAACGTCGAACCGCCCGTTCCTTTTCATAACAAGCTACAGTCAACATTTTGTTTTTGAAGTCAAACAAATAAAGGGGACTTTATTCAAAGTCAGGTGTGAAATCGGCTTCATGTTGAACACTACCGTGTGACCAAATAGTGTTTCTTTGACTTAATAAACACGAGTAACATTTTAGGCGTTTATACAAGTTTTTATGGTTCTGATGTTTATAACAGAATAAACATGTTGTATTTCCCCCCTAGGAGAAATTACTCAGAGCAAAGAAAGATGTGGAGAAATTTGCCATCAATGACAAACAGGTACACACACATCTACAAATATATTGAGAAATCCTACATTTAGGAATTGGTTTTCTTTATTTAAAACATAAAAAATGATGGATTTAATACTTTTTATGAAGGTGGTGCTCTGTGTATCCGTGGATGTTTCCAGTGATTACACTCAAGTGGAAAATGTAATCAAACAGGTAATTTTACCATTAGCGCCACAATAGAACACATCAGGTTTCTTGAATGGCTCACAGCTGTCATATGAATGTTGGTTTCTGTTGCCCTGCAGGCTCAGGAGAAGCTGGGACCTGTTGACATGCTGGTGAACTGTGCCGGAACTGCCCTTGCTGGGAAGTTTGAGGAAATGGAAGTGGAGCGTTTTAAAGCAAGTGCTTCAGTCCGGTGGTTTCTGACTCCAGTTCTGAGTTCTCTCCTGGGTTTTTTGCAGCTTTTTGGGGGGAGGGACATTCATTGCCCATTTCACTTATTTTCTGTGGAGTTTATTCAATTAATTTACCCAGAAATGTAAGTTTGCTCTTATGTTCAACAGGAACTGATGGAACTGAACTACCTGGGCAGCGTTTATCCATCACGGGCCGTCATAACCACGATGAAGGAGCGAAGAATGGGCCGCATCGTGTTTGTGTCCTCCCAAGCGGGCCAGATCGGGCTCTTCGGATACACCGCCTACTCTCCATCCAAGTTCGCGCTCCGCGGCTTAGCGGAGGCGCTGCAGATGGAGGTTTGTGTTTCCTTGTTGCACTTTACACCAGGCAAATACACGGTGGCTCAGGTTACCTCCACACTTAAATATCAGTGCTGTTGCTCATTTTAAACTTTATTATTATTATTATTATTGTATTATTTTTTTTTGTGTGCATATTTTCACTTTTCTAATTTCCTTAAGGTCAAGTTGAAAATGTTACAACGCATTTTGCTCTGTTTGCTGTTATTTCCAGATGAAGCCGTACAATATTTATGTAACGCTGGCTTTCCCACCTGACACCGATACTCCGCTACTGGCTGAAGAGAACAAGTCAAAAGTACACAAACAGGCTCAATTTCCTCTTTTCTTTCCTCCTATTTGGGCTGTTTTATGATGATAAGGGGACAGTTATTCCTTTTCTCTTTGTTCTTTCTTTATTTAGCCCTTAGAAACCAAATTAATCTCTGAAACTTCAGGAGTTTGGCAACCAGACCAAGTGGCCAAAATCCTCGTCAAGGATGCCGTGGTGAGAAGATCAGTCCGGCTTCCACTCACTTTTATTTTAGATGTATTGATTTATGTTTCAGCAGAAGAGCTTAAAAAAAATCTTGTTTTGCAGCAAGGGAATTTCAGCAGCTCGGTTGGTCCTGATGGCTACATGCTGTCAGCTCTCACCTGTGGGATGTCCCCCATCACCTCCATCACAGAAGGGCTCCAGCAGGTACAGGCATGGCTGCTGCTTCAGGGTTTCTCTCAGATATTCCAGGCTTATTGTTTTTCTTTCTAAATTCCCTGCAGATCGTCACCATGGGGTTATTTCGGACCATCGCTCTTTTCTACCTGGGGAGTTTTGACAGCATCGTGCGCCGCTGCATGATTCAGAGGGAACAGTCGAAAGCAGCTGATAAGAACGAGTAAACGCAGTCTTTACAGTCCTCCTCCACAGCTCCTTCATTCAGTCTGTTTCTCCGAGTGCACCGTCATAGGTGGGAGCGAAAGGTCAAGCCCAACAGTTTGATATCAGAGATTAGACGTTTACTTACCGCCTTTTCCGATGACACACATGCTAATTTTAACTTGTGTTCTGATCACACAGAGGACTTTGGTTTAGTTCCTTCTCTAACGTGAGAGCGGCCTTACTTGAGAGGGGGTGTAGGCAGAATTACCATCCCAACTTTTATAAGAACCCCCCCCCCCCTCCCCTTTGAGAACCACAGATGTTAAGCTAGCACAGTGCTAACAAGTAGCAACACAGATGGAATTCTACCAGATGTGGCTGAAAACTCAAAACAACCACACAGACGCACATCTAGTTGCATGTCTCGGCTTTCTATTAAGAATTTTACAGTTTTCTCTAAATAAACCAGTGATTCCATGAGTCTTTGCAGGCAAAGCACCCTCCCTTTGTGACCGTTATGGTTTAGTCTACGCTGTGGTCCGTGTGTCCCGTAAGCTGTGAAGTTATATAACTATAATCTTGTCAGAGAGTGAGAGGTTGTTGTTTTCAGGTTTTTATGTATAATATGACTTTCACCTAACAATATTAACAAAATGTACATGGTATGTTGCGGGTGAACTGTGTGAGTGTGTGTGTGTGTTTCTACTGTGACTGGGCCAGCCTGCAATACACTTACAAAACTATTTGTCTCGTCATCCACAAAGTGAGTCAGAAGCCATGAGGTCATAGGCTGGGTAGAAAACTCCTCATGATTTCACTTTTCACCTGCAGCCCCGGCACCGTTTTCATCATCGGGATTGGCGGTTGTGTGCATCAGCGCACATTTTCTGGGTCCTTTGTCACAATGGTTTGAGTTCAAGTGTTTTGACGGCACTACAGAGATTAGTTTCACCTAAAAGGTAAAGGTGTTGCAGGTAACTGACAGGTTTCTGACTTTGGTGTTTAGTTTTGCATTCAGAGACCGCTGCAGGTCTTCCTTTTTGTCCATTTTTTTATCAAGAATGTAACTTAAATGCCAAACATTCGAATCAGGACATGGGGGATATTATTTTTGATGCACTATTTGAATGCCAAAACCTTTTAAAGCTATTGTTCCACTAGTAGAAAGTGTTTATTTTCCATTTTTCTGGATGTTGCTGCTCTGTTGATTGTAGTTTTAAATAAACACTAACTTGGAGCAACATTGGGACCCATCTCAAGCCTTAAAGGGTGATAAAAGCTAATGTTAGTGTTGTAATTTAATCCATGTTAGTGATTTTTATGTAATATGCCAAGTTTCTTTGGTCAGTTTGTGTTTGTATGAAATAAAGCCTTATTTGATCTAAGATATGACGGTGAGAATTGATGATTCACGTTTGATGACGTTCTCATTTGATTTTAGTTAAAGGCATGTTTTCCCTCCACTGGGGAGTTTTCCATTTCTGTTTTTGCTTCAGAAGTTCTGTTTTTTTTCCTCTTCTACCTTGAGGTAACATCACATAGTTTAAATGACATGTAGCTCATGTTAAAAAAATGTAACACCTTTACTCTATGCAAACGGGCTGTGTTTGAAAATTCAATAACAGTTCCTTTCATTTTCCCTATAATTAACTGGTATTTGTGAGAAAGTCTGAAATTCACTCATTTCTTGTTGAACTTTTCTTTTTCTGCCAAACAAACTTAACACCTTCACCTTGTGTGCCATTGAAAGGAAATGTGAGAAGTGGAACGTTGTCTTATTTTCTTACATGATGAAATAAACGCCTGTAAAAATTTAAATATCAGGTATTGTTTTTTAATCTTCACCTCTGATCACACAGTCACGTTTCTGACCACAAGGGGGTGGATAGAGTTAATAAGAGATCATATTTTTTTTATTTTTTCTTCCACGTGAAAATCAGTTAAAAGAAAGCAGCTGGTTTCTAGGAAATGGTAGTTTACCAAACGAGCTTTTAACGGCGCGGGGAAAGGCGATGCGCGCAGATTGTGTTTTGGTGGATGTGGTGCTCGCGGAGGCTGAGCGTGTGTGACGTCAGAGCGTCGGCGGAGGTGGGCAGGGAGATTCAGTTAGAAGAGCGATCGTTGAAGAGCGCTCATTCCGACTCTGCGTGGCTCACTGTCCCGCGTCCGGTTGTGTTCAGGGTGGGTCGTGTTGCTGGCGCGCCCCCAGAGCCCCTTCAGGGACGCGCAACTTTTTTTTTTTTTTTTTCCTATTTCCTCTTTCATTCATTTATCCGCAGCACATCCGCGTCTGGCTGCTGCTGCTCACAGGAAAAGACTCCGATCTCTTCCGCATAGACTGGATTTCTACCCAGAGAGAAGGTCACAAGAGTCCCCTCCAAAGACCCGGGAAATGAAGCCTCCTGCTGGAGCGGAACCAGGATTTCTCAGACTAGAACTGCTTTATGCCTGATTTGGTCCCAGAGGCTTTCCAGAAGTCCCCCCACCACCTCTATTTCACTGATCAGCCCAGGACGCGTGTGTGCCGTGCGCGTCTCCAGCGCGCAGTTTTAATCATAATGCACCGTATTTAGAGCGACCTGGGATCAGATTAGATGCCACATTAAGCGGGGATGGCGAACGAGTGGAATCGCAATATCGTGGAAAACTATATCTGCCATAAACTCTCAAAGAGGGGGTTCGCGTGGGGCTTCGATGACGGTGCTGTCGCCAATAACGGCTCAGTGGGTGACCGCTCTCCGACTGTGGTCCGCAGGTGCAGAGAGGCTGGATCACCGGGCCCCGATGTGGACTGCAGACGGATCTCCCAGCAGCCCGAGCCGCTCGCGGACATCCACAGGGTCATGCGGGAGGCTGGAGACGAGCTGGAGAGACTCTACCAGTTGGACTTTACGGAGATGTCACGGCAGCTGTACCTCACCAACGCCACGGCCAAGACCCGGTTCGCCGAGGTGATAGATGAACTGTTCCGGGACGGGGTGAACTGGGGCCGGATTATCGCTTTCTTCGAGTTCGGGGGCACAGTGTGCGTGGAGTGCGCGTCCAGAGAGGAGATGGCAACGCAGGTCGACACCATAGCAGAGTGGATGACGGAATATTTAAACGGTCCTCTTCTTAACAGCTGGATAGAAGATAACGGGGGATGGGTAGGTCTGGTTCCGTCTGGTTCAGGAGAGTGGGGGCGCATGAGCTCACCCTTTGATATCGTGCTTATGGGCGCGCCTGGGCGTCTGGTTGAGGTCTAAATGAGCATTCTGACGAACCTCCGGTTCATATCGAAAATACACGTGAGGTCGACCATTAATTAAAAAAAATTTGCTGTGGGGGTGTGACGCACGTCAACGCAAACGTTGATAGAGAGGAGCCTTCATGTGTTAGCTGCTCTGATTGGTTGATTGAGTTGACTCTCAACATTGTTTTGACCAATCACGTGAAGGCTCTCTGTCACACCTCCCTACGTACGCAGCTATCTGTGTTCCGCCATGAAAACACATAGGACCAGATGGTTGAGGGAAACTTTTAGAAGTTTGAAAAATAAGAGTAAATTCTGATGTTTATGTTTTAATTTAGTTGTATTCAAAGTGTTCTACAGAGAATGATTTCAATGTGACGAAATGCGCTAGGTGATGATTCCTGCAGGATGGAGGGCGCCAGACTGAGATCTGCAGGCTTAATGTGCTAAGACCTCTGGGCATAGCGGGCTCAGCTGTCAGAGCGCTTTATTGTGTGTGTGTGTGTGTGTGTGTGTGTGTGTGTGTGTGTGTGTGTGTGTGTGTGTGTGTGTGTGTGTGTGTGTGTGTGTGTGTGTGTGTGCGTGTGTGTGTGTGTGTGTTATTAAAACACACGTGAATCATACACCTGTACAATCCAATTAATATTTATATTTTAATATCAAAACAAGTAAGCTATTAGTTTTTTGGGGTCACATGCTGTATGCTCTTATTTTGTCATACCTTCCAAATGATGCACACTTCCTGACTTCTCAAAGGCCGAACATGCAGTTTGCATAGGTGGTGTTTCAAAAAGTCGTGCAGAATAATACATTTTAAAACAAATTAATTAATGATGATGATGATGATAGTAATAATAACAGCCCTGACCTGCCATTACTGATATTTAATATAATTTTTCAAAATTATGATTAAATTAAAAATATTTTGTAAGTGAAAACGTCCATATAGAAGATTTGTACTGCCAGTGTGAATAAGCAATGGTGAGTTCAAGGACTAGGGGAAAATGTCTGCTTTTTCAACTGCTGTTTGGTCATGGTGCATTCATGGGCCTGGATAAAAGAGGAAATCACTTGTTTGAGTGTCAGACAAGCTGTTCATGCCAATTTTCATCCAATGTCAATGACCAGATGGTTGTTGTGGTTCATCTCAGATTTCTATGTGCACAGACTTCCTATCTTGGACAACCAGGATTAGGCACTCTTCTCTGATTTTATAGCAGCTCCATCTGTCTGTGAACTCTTAATTTGCTTCATATTTCATGTAGAAGATTAGTTTTGTGTAGGTGGAGTTTGGGTTGAGTGGCGGATGAGTTGGCATTGTTGGCTCAAATTCCACCTGCACAACTTGTGTGGGTTATTTCTAAATACCCCAGAATCCTCCAACAGTAAAAGAACACAAGTGTTATGTTGCTTGGAGTCTCTAAATTTGTCCCTAGGTGTGAGTGAGTGTTTGTCTCTGTGTGGACTGGTCCAGGGTGTCCCTCACCTCTGGACATAGGCACCAGCTCCTGTGACCCTATTAGGATTGAGCTTTCATATCATAAATAAGCTTTGGCTGCACAATATATCGCAAATATGTCGTTATCGCGATATCAGCATGTGCAATATGCATATTGCAAAGAACAGATAAATATTGCAATGAATGGTCAGCTCAAATGTTTGCTACACGTAATGCATTCTGTCAATAAAATGGAAGCATGACATTTTTTTAACAAATCAAAGAGCTCTTCACCCACTTGGCCAATTGGGTGGGTTCTCATAGGTTAGATGCCCGCCCCCCGATGTGGACGGCACTTAATTTTGATGGTTAGCAAACACCTTAGTTAGCTTTGTTCTGCACTTTCTGCTGATTCTGCTTTTCCCGGGATCCATTGATTGCCTTTTCTTGTTCATTTTCTTTTTCCCTTTCCTCACATCTTTTGCTTTTCTATTTTTAGGAATTTTTTGTAATTTTTTTAGTTTTTTTTTTGTTTTTGATTATTTTTGTTCCTGAGTTAAGTTTTTATTTATCGTAAGTAATATCGTCATCGCAATATTAATCATTGTTATCGCATATTGCAGGTTTTCCCATATCGTGCAGCCCTACTTTTTAGTTTTGTTCGCAAAAAGTTTTATTCACCACTAAACATCAGGTTTCTGCCACCCGATGATTCAAACACAATTAGTTCTGAGAGAACCGGAGAAAATGAAGCTGCTGCACATCCTCGACTGAACTCTAAATTAGTGAAGAACACAACATTTATGCTGCATCTTAGCTGGAAGCTATTATACATAATATGATGTGTTTGCAAATGAAAGGAAGAGACATCAATGATTCATATTGAATGTTTCATCTTAGTGGATAGGACCATTTAACATTCCCCTTGAGTGTGTCTGCCCCCCCTGTAGTGGCAGGTTGTGCCACATACCACTAGTCTGCAGGCTCTGTGTTTAACATACAGTTTTCTGTTGTACAATGAGGTTGGACCTCTATTGTCCTTTTTTTATTCTTTCCAGACTTGTTTCTTGTTGCGTATTGCAGACTGGGCTGCAAAGATGCCTGCATCAAATCCCCGGAGCCTGTACCTCACTGTACAGTAATGTAGGTCATCGTAGTCTGTGTTTTACAGCTGAGTGGAGATGACTGGATCCACTGCAGTGAGGAACAGAGTATCCTCTAATCCAGGGGAATGTTTAGGGATCATATGAAGGCTTATGTTTGCCGTTTGGGTCAGTTGTGACAGATTTATCCTGATGGGGAAAAAGGGCTTATTTTCAGATCAAGTTTCCACACAGATCAATGCTGATAGTGATTTGCTTTCATTTGAATACCTGTCAGGTGGGGAATTTCCTGAGGTGCTTTTGTCAGTTATTATGTGGCCGTTAATAACTGAGGTACATTCAGCGTGCGCTCTGGATAACGCTTCTGAACTCCACTGTCTGTTTTTATGAGCTCGTTGGTTGCATTTGTACACTTTACTGCAAAAAGAAGCTGTAGCTTTATTTATTTATTTGTGTGTGTGTCATACCTCAAAGAGCTCACAGGTGATCTCCGGATCATAAAACAAAATCTTCCTGGTGTCAGATTGGCTAATTCCAAAAGAAATCTGAACGACAAAAAAGGAAAGTTTGCGGATTTTGATGCTTTTTTAAAGTTGTTATTTCAATCATGATTGTTGGATAGTCGGGTAGAAAAAGTAACAGTCTCCTATATTTCAACAGAATAATCACTTCTACTCTTCAGAGATAATCTGGCCTATAATCTGCTCCCGTGTGAAAGCTTTGACTTGTTTAGGTTAAAGCAAATGTGCTCCATTCTAATCTGATGTTGGGCTTTTCTGGGGTCATTTCAGAGGGGGTGGATTATTTTCATCCACAATCTGCCACAGCTATAAAAGGAAAGATATTCAGTAAACATGGTTAAATGTGTATTTAGACAGGTTAGTTATTCTTCGTTGTGTTGCTGTGTTTTCCATCACCATACAAGCACAACTCTGAGCTAATCAAGTGACATTGTGACAGGTGTGGATAGTGTGGACACAGCTTCCCTTCACTTCTTTTCCTGTTGGGTTTGGAGTCCAAACCAGGAACCTGCAGTAATTGTTGTTTAGTCTACACACACCGAGTCAAATATACCTTTTAGGTAAACAAAAATCCGTCTCGGAAAGGTGACAAATCACCAACTGTGTTGGTAAAAACCCCAGAAATTGTTCCCATCCTGCTGCGATTAACTTCCACACCTGCGGGATGTGAATGAGCACCTATTTGTGTCCCCAAATAATCACTCTTTACCCGTGTGTTAGGAGAAAATTGAGTTTAGACTGCAGGACTTGCCCACACGTGACACACCTGTGTTTAGGCAGTAAATACCAAGTGATTGAACAAAAGCGGCAGACGGCGTCCGAGCTCTGAAATTACATGCTTGACCTGAAACATTTGACTGGCTGCGGGGGCACACCGAGCAACATGCCAGAATGGTCTTTGAGAGAAAAACAGCCGTTTCACAAGAGAGGAGCTCAGACTTATGTCGTCCCCAAAGGGAAGTTGCTCAATGTTAGTGTTGAGAAATGATTTTCTCTTGTTTCTGTGTTTTGCTTTTGGTCATGCATCAAGAGATCTGTCTTGATTTATCCACAAGTGAGCTGGAAAGTGTTTTGGGGACCAGGAGGTTAACATTCATGTAAGATCTCTGGATGATTCAGCTTATTTGTGATTTGGAGTAAAAGATCTCCAATAAAATGTGATGCATGTGTTCACTTATGGAACAATCAGGTTATGTATGGGTGAATATGGTGTCCTGTCCCAAACATTAGGAGCAGGTTTTTGTGGAATGCTGCTTTTATGGCGGCATATTTCTCCGTCTTTTTGCACGTGTGTGCATCTGTGCTTTTTGTGTGTTTGGTGAAGACAATGTGAATTTGGGTTGGGTCCATCCTGTGGGGGATTCCCTGAGCACAATCCAGCTCTCTGGTGGGAGGAACTGGCGTGTTGCTATGGTGTAGTGTGCTTGCAGAGGCTATGTGGGACAGTGAGGAAGTCATTAATCTCCATATAGGTGATGTGGCGGCTGAGTGGAGACAAAACCCAAACAAAACGGATCACAGAGAGAGGGCATGCAGAGTAAAAAATAAATAAAAGCACTCATCTCACTTCTACCCAATCTGTGTCTCTCAGCTGCAAATTCAGTTTAACACAAGCTCACACTTATAAATGCTGCATTCATGAATTTCTTTGGTGCTAATACCTGACTTTACTTTGAACTTAACACAAAGCATTGACGATGAACAAGAAGACATCTGAAGAGTGGCGTTTTACTGCGTAATGAGCTCTATAAGTCGTGACTGATCCATCCCATCTAAGCTCCAAATCTGCTCTCTTCTCCTTGCACGCTGTCACACTCAGTTTATCAGGCTGATGGGCTCTCTTAGCATGCTC